GAACTCTATCTCCACACCCCGGATATCCCCGAGCTCTTTCGTGAGCTCCACGACTACGCCAGTATAGAAAGGCACCAACCCCAATGGTGTAAGGTATGCGTGATTTTCTACTCTCTAACTCTCTAAGCTCTGTAAGCTCTCCAAACTTTTCAGCTCGCATCAAATTATTAACTTAAACATCGGAGTGACCTCGCCGGACTAGCCACCCCGGGTTCTCTGATCCTTTCTTGCAGATTCACTTAACTCGTCATGCAACTGAAAGCCAGATGATCCTCCAACAGGGAGTAATCAGATCGCACATCAATGATAAATTGAGAACAATTCTCTTGAAGGAAGAGGAACAATTGTCGAGAACAGATTTTTTGAGTTTAATTAATGAATTCGTTTGGTACACAAAAAAGAAAAAAAAAAAAAGAATTTGGAATCTCGTGTAAAAGAATTTCGAATCTCTTGCAAGATTGTTTATTTATTTAATCATATATGCCAATCAATTTTGTTTTAAAGAACAAAAAATTAATAAAATCTAGTCAGAATTATAAAAAAAAAAGAATCAAAATTTTTAAATTTTAATGGACCGGAAGTCTTGAATGGTTATCGAGGAGCCAATGAAAACGTGATGCCGGTCGGAATTTTCATCTTCTCCAACCAAGTCTTCGAATCTAAATAAAGCTTCGAGATCTTATCGGCCACTATATTCATGTCGGGTTGCTTATCGGGTTCCACCTATACGCAGTCTACGGCGATGCGTGTTATCTTCTCCGCCACGTCCACTGGGAATGAATCCCTAAGTCTTTTATCTATCCATCTCCATATTCTTCCCTCCCCGTCGGTGCCGGACTCCACCGCCACCGCTTCCGTTGCCGTCTCGATCACGAAGATTCTCTTGTAATCACCCCTCTCCCTATCCACCATGTACTTGAGAGGCTCCGGTCCTGATAGAAGCTCCAACAACACCACTCCGAATGCGAACACGTCGGATTTCTACGTTGGGATCCCGGTCGTTTGGAATTCCGACGCCATGTACCCTCTCGTCCCTTTGATTTTCATCACTCGGCTGTTTGATCTTCTGTATTTTGACGATGGTTTCTCCACCGTAATCTCCCCGCTCTGTTCTTCTTTTTGCTCGTCTTCGGGGATTTCTCCGCACAGTTCAGCGGTACCGAAGTGGCAGATTCTGGCGTTGAGTGAAGCTCCGTGATGATTACATTACTACTCTTGATGTGGTTGTGGACGAAACGCACATTTAAGCCAGTTCTGCTGTGAATGTACTTGAGACCGTCGGCGAGATCCGTTGCGATCTGCTATGAATGTACTTGCAGGTTGCATCTCCAGGTGGCGTTGGAGAGGCGCTTGGCAAAATTGTTGGTGGTAGAGCGGATTTCTGACAAGTCGTAGAACTAAGGTTTCTCGTAAGGTATGTCGGAGGCCGAGAGGGAAGGTCTACTGGAAATCAAAGTTGCCGATGAAGCTTTGTAGCTGGAACCGATCGTATAATTGCCGCTAGTGTTATAGCTGCTTGAAGGGTTCGTGAATGTGGATCTCACAGTTCTAGGGTTGTCGAAAGGTTGCTGAGGGGTTCTGGGCGTTCAAGGGGTCCGGGAGGTTCGCGAGCTTCTGGCCGGTTTTGCTGCACCGATGTCTGTTTTTGATTTGCACATGCGGATGACCAGACTGCCAGAGGAGAGAGAGAGAGATTTGTAGATTGAGAAGGGGTTCAAAGAATTCGTCAATGGTTAGAGAGATTGGGTTTTCCTCTCTCCAGTCAGGGTCAGAGCAGAGAAGGAGCGGGAAGATGACGGAAAAGAAGTATGACTCATCTTTTGCTAAAATGCGCACGTGGAGCGGTGTATCATAGAGAATTTGGATTGGAGTCAAAGATCTGGAGGCAGTCTCTATCTTCTTGTTCCTTTTGCTGCTAAGAAAAACTACTCCTACAAAATATAGGGATTGACAGTTCGGGCGAACGACGTACGCAGGTCAGTCAGACCTATTTTTGAAAAGCCTGAATACGAAATCCGGTCCGTTCAACCAAATCCGTACATCATACGCGTCTAAGTCGTGTATTACACGGTTTGATTAAAAGGGGAGAATGGGGTATTTGGAAGAAACTGTTACATCAATCTAACGTTTTCCGTATAGAAAGGTGACGGAAAGGAGGTTTTTGTCGAATTTCTCAAAATTTAAGGGGAGGTATTTATTAAAATGAAACTAGAGAGAAAATTTTTATGATTGCTAGAAACTTCAAGGGAAGTTTTTGTATTTTACCCTTAATATAAAATAATTATCTGGTAGGTATCTATAGATTTTCTCAAAAAGAAAATTGAGAAATCAATATTGCAAAAGTAATTATTTTTTACTTATATTATCCATGACTTTCATGGTGAGAAATAACCATATGATGGATTAGTGTGGATTATCAACAATTTCTATAAAAATTTCATTTTTCTTAATTCCTTTCATGATTTGCAAAATTTACAACAATAATAAACCTAGTAATTTGACAAAGTTATATTACCATTAGGTATCTTGTACATATTCATGTATAATTATTTTATGATCCTATGTGTTTCGAGTGTTTATTTTTATTTTTTATAATTTATAATCATGATAATTAGGGTGTCTTATTGAAATTTTTACTAAATTGAGAGCTGAGAAATTGATCAATGCATCTTTGGTGAATTAATTATATAGCATCTATGTGTTCTGCATGGAAGAATGAACTATGCAATGGGGGCATTCTTTTTCAAGCCCCAAAAGTATGTTTTTCCCATATATTAATCCATATACAAACTGTTAAAGCATGTATTTCTTATTTGTAGATACTCCATACAAATTTAGTGTTATTGATATTGTGAGATTTATTTAAGTTTGCCTAACATATCTTAATAACATCATGATACATATTCATGCTTTTCCTAAGTATACACGCCGATATATCTCTAAAATGGGTTCAACTATGATGCAGGAAAAATTTGTAACCAATCAACCGGTATCATAAAAGTGATGACCAATTAAGTGATATTTAGGGGGTTTGATTGGTCAAAATACTTCCGGTATCATGTCTTTTCAGCTGCATAGTTTTTTCCCTCTTAAAATTGTATTTTCAGTAGTCTTGACGATACCAATACTTAGATGTTTGATTATAGCAACCCAGATCTCCTGCCCACAAGAATCTTATATATCCATATGACACTATAACTGTACATTGGGACCATCTCCCCATAAATGCTAATATTCAAATACATGAGATGTTATCACTATATGGCTGTATTGATGTGTGAGTAGGAGATCCGAAATGTGAGTATAGAGCAGTAGATGTTTTCTTTAATACTCCATGTAGTAGCTATCAAAGCAAAAAATTAATGCAAAGAGGTATAGGACATAAATGAGCCCGGTCAACAATTTTGAGAGGGCTGGGTCCATAAATTGGCAGGAAAAGAATTTGGACCCAAGTTATAACATAACAGTGCTCAGTTAGTGGCCTCGGTCTAGGATGCGAATGAGCCCGATCAACAACTTTGTTGGGTCTGGGCCCATAAATTGGATACCCATGAACCCATGAAAAGAATCGAGACCAATTAATGAGTTCCAAGAAGCCCTAAGTGCCCCTAATCGAGTTCTTACGTGGTTGTCTTCTCGAAGCTTGATAAGAGGACAATATTAATGACTAGGGGCAAATCATCTTATTGTGTAAATATCATTCCATAGGGACTAGGGATCGGACTAAATTAAAGGCTTGTATATGCATGTATTTTGATACATTTAGTTGCATGTGAAATGAAGGAAACCTTTGTCACACACAAAAAAAAAAGTTGAAATGAAGGCAACTGGACAATTTTCATGCAAAACTTTTTCTCTAATGTTGCATTTGTTTTAGGTGTAATCGTGTAAATTCAGTTTTACACCAATCGGAAATGTGAACCGGTTTAGTTATTGATGAAAATTGTGACTGGTAGATTTTGAAAATTTACACAAATCATGTTTGGTTGTTAAGACGTAGATTCTGTGAAAATTTACATAGTGGAAGAGGGAAGCAGAGGAAGAAGAAGAAGAAAAGGGAGGAGGAGAAGAGAGAAAGAGAGATGGATGGGAGGTGGGTTCAGATCTGGTTGCAGTGGCGGTGACGGAACAGAGAAAGAAAAAAAGGGGGAAGAAGAAGGAGAGAGAGAGAGAGAGAGAGAGAAATTGCCGGTGCCACTGTTGCCCTGGGTTCCGATCTGCAAAGAGAAAAGGAGATGAGAGAGAGAGAGAGAAGAAAGAGGCGTTACTTTTACATTGATTTATTATGTAAAACTACACACTTTCCAAACATGTCAAAAATCGAATTGGAGTGTAAAGTACCCCGATTCACTTTTCCACCCCAAACAAATGTGGCCTAAGGCAACCTAAAGAAATCAGTCTACCCCGGTTCCCTTTCTTTCCTTGCATTTTCCTTCAAACCAAAGATAGCCTAAAAAAATCAGTTTTAGCCTCATAAGAAAAGAGTTGGAATCGTCCAAAATTCTACTTCAAATGCAGAGCCATTCATGATAAACCACTTCATATATACATGTGGGTCATGCATTAGGCCGTCGTGGCTTGTCTTGATTGGCCCCAGTATCCTCCAATTGTCATATTAGAGAGTTGTGGAGAATGATTGAAAAGTTTAACGCCAATGATGATGTCATCATCGGGAGATGTTCTCAATACATGACAAAGATGTAGTGTAAGAGATTATAGGGGACATTATTGTGGGGGGCTGATTCTGTCTCATGATTGAGCAGCTTCTCCTTTGGAGACGGGATTTCTTGAAAGCTTTTATTGCAATTTCTTTTGCACTGGTGTAAAAGTATAAGAACATAGATGAGTTAAATTGCAAATTCTGATGTATTTTTTTTTTATATTTTACTTTATATTCTTTGTTTGCAGTGTAAATAAAGTAAAATAAAACCCAAAGCAAAGTAAGGTAAAATCCGGAGGAAAAGTCCACTAGAATTTAAACTTTTATGAATTTATATTTCCATGCAATTATACAAATACAGATGAAATTGCGTTGCAAATAAATGCAAACAAATGGAGCCGAAAGCAAAAATGAGAACAAAAAAAGCGCAAATAGAGAAAAGGAACGAAGTAACAACGACTAAAGACTAAACTGAATCAGAAACCACTAACACAACACCGCCCGTTCACACTAGACAAACAAACAATACCCGAACCAAATCCTGAGATGGAAGGTAACGAAAGCATCAAAACAATCTTGAACGTCGATTGTGAAGGAAAATGAAAAAAAAAATAATAATAATCTTCACGGTCTCTCTATCAGTCCAGTTCTACGTCAGATGCGGTTGACGATATCTGCTGGTTCTGATCCAACGGACACAGATGAATCTTCATCTGAAACCCCAACCCCAAGCCACACAGCAACCTTACTCCGCCGCCGTCCGAGCTCTTTTCATCCATCTTGCCGGAAACCTCTCTTCTCCCATTCAAGTCCGTCAGGACCGTGGACGTCGTCGACGTGGATGAAGAAGCGGCGGATTCCGAATCATCCGAATATTCCCCGGAATAATCTCCACGTGAATGCTGGCAAGATTCTTCGAAGGAGCTTTTATTGGTCTTGGATGGTTGTCTGGATTGGCGGTCGCTCTGGCGGGGGCGGTTCTTTCCCATTAGATCACGGTACCCGATCGCAGAGAATCCATTCAAGGCCGCGAAGTCAGTGCGGTTTTTTATAACCATAGCGCCGATGTTCAGTACGCCGTGGAATCTGCCGGAGGAGGGGCGGCGAATCTGGAGAGCGGAGAAGGTGGGAGCGCTGGAGGAGAGACAGTTGCCAATGAGAAAACGGACGGTACCTATGAGAGTATCTTTCAGGTAGCCGACGACGTAAATCTCAACGGAGACGGCAGAGGTGTCGGTGGAGAGGAAAGCGGAGGAGACGCGAAAGATGAACTTGTCATTCCAGGTGGGGTTTTCGCAGCCGACACGGTCGACACGGGTGCGGAGCTTGATGGCGGAGTCGATCCAGGCGACAGCGTAAGTCTGCATGCGGCGGAGGTTAGCAGAGGGGGGCTTGAGGCCTTGAGCGGAGATCAAGTTAATCTCCAAGAGATGAGTTTCCGATTCCATGGCGTGCTTCTCTTCTCCTTCTAGACCTTCTCTTTTTCTTTATTTCTATCTTTCTATCTCTCCTCTCTTCTGATGATGATAGTAAACCAAAAGGTCGTGAGTAACTGAGGATTGGGTTCAAGAAAGAAGAAATCAAGAAACGGAGAAGGGCACGACGTAGAAGAAAGATGCAGAACGAGAGGAGAACGTCTGGGCACTCTGCAGCCAGTGTGTGTTATATGACTTAAGAGGGGAGAGAGAGAGAGAGCGAAACACGTATGAGAGTTTGGTCTGCAGATGCCGAAGGCCATGAATGAAACTCACGAAAGCTTTAAAACGCCTGTTCGTGGGCCGAAAATTTGAATGGATCCGACCCGGTGACCGAACCCGAATCAGTATAAAGCCAAGCCCGAAACCCGGCCCATGAACAGGATCCATCTTTACCCCTCGGCATTGTGGTCTGGTTATTTATTTATTTATTTTTATTTTTTTTGATGTGAGAGGGCCTGAGCGAGATTTGGCACATTGTTGGGGCTTACCCGGCCCGAATTTGGGCTGGTCCGGCACGGCACAACAGGATGGCAAGCGGGCCATGCCAAGCCTAGCGTGATGGTTTGGGCCATGCTGGGCCTAGGGTTCTAGGTCCACGGGCCGGCACGGTACGACATGACTGTGCGTGTTGAGCTGCTCACAGCCCACGTGTTGACACATCCCAGCCTGTGACACTACACGCGGCACGACCTGCCACAGGCTCGTAGCAGGTCGTGCTTGGCCCATCCGATGAACTAGCCATTGGGAGGGTCCCCAACGGATAATTTCAACTTTTTGGGTGTTTTTTATAAAAATACCCCCCCCATAGCTATAAACAACTATATAGGGGGGTATTTATGTATTTTGGTTTAGGGAGGAGAAAGAATGACACAAATGCCCCCAATAGCTATTATAATAGTTAGTTTGTGGGGGCATTTTGGGTAAAGTGATAAATAACTTTACAATAACCAAAATATCCCTTTCAACAACTAAAAAATGACTAGTTTTTAGGGTATTTTGGGCAATTGAATTATTTCTAATTCCTATAAATAGCCCTATCCTCCACCATTCTCATCACACCAATTCAACAATTCTCTTAATCTCTTCTCTAGTTCTCATTCTCTTTCAAGTCTCAATCTTTCAATCTCATGCATTCTCTGATTCTCCAATTCTCAACTTGATTGAAGTTTCAACAAGAAGAAGGCTTGTTCAATAGCTCAAGTATCTCAACTCTCAAGTTAGCAATTTGGGAGGCTTGGACTCTTCGAGTTGAAAGGCTTCAACCGTTGAAATCAAGTTGGGGTTCCAACTAGCAATTTGGGTAAGTGCAATTAAATTAATTTTTACTTTTTAGAATTTAAAAAAATGACCGTCTCTTCTTCGAACCAATTCCCCATCATGTTCAATGTCAATGATATTTAGTCGCAGCATGGTAGTATTAGCACCGATATGGATGCTATTGATATTAACGGAACTTTCACCCCTAATACTAATACTAGGGGAAAGAGAAAGAAGGCTACTAAGTTGATTAGCCCGCTTTAGAAAATATTTAAAATAGAGGTGGTTCAAGGGAAGGGAAAAAGAATTATTTGTCAAAAATATAGGAAAGATTTTAGCTATTATAGCAAGGGTGGTACTAGACATTTGGGCATGTATTTGCTCACCCATGAAGATGAAGAAGAAAAAGAAAAAGAAGAAGAAGAAGAAGAAGAAGAAGAAGAAGAAGAAGAAGGGAGAGAAACAACACAAACACAAATATGGTGGGGTGTTTTGGTACTTTTAAATATTCTCAAGAAAAAATGAGGCAAGAATTAGCAAAATACATTGTACATGCTGAACAACCATTTTTGTTAGTTAAAGATACTAAACTTAAAAAATGGTTACATAGTTATGTAAATTCACAATTTAAAAAAAATTATAGGAATACTATTAGCTTAGATGCTTTAAAATTTTTTGGGGAATTGTCTAAAATTCACCATGAGTTTTCAGTATCTCTTAAACTCAACTCACCACAACTTTTCAAAATGTCTAAAACTCACTATATCAGTAAATTTTTATTTTCCAAAAACTCACATTTCGTTAGTGCATCGTTAATGCTTCTTAATAGAGGTGTCTATGTCAGCATAAATAACAATTTTCATGACCAAATTACCCTTGAATGGCGAGTTAGAGGAAAAATGGTCTTTTTTTAGTTTTCAATTTTCTTGTTTTTTTTTTGCATTTTAGTGTTTTGTTATAATTTCCAATGTTTTTTATAATTTCTGTTTTTTTTTACATTTTTCTATTTTCTACGATCTATAAATTTTCCTATACTTTTTGTTACCTTTTGCAATTTCTGTGTTTTTCTATAATTTTGGGTGTTTTTTCAACAATTTTTATTTTCTGATTTTGTTTTTCAATTTCTATAGTTTGTATATTTTGAAAATAATTTTTTTATTTTGTTTGCAATTTCTCCAAATTTTTATATTTTTTGCAATTTCTATGTTTTTATGTATTTTATATTTGAAAATATTTTTTTGATCTTTTTCCTTTTTCCATGTATAAATATTAAAATGGTAATATATTAACACCCATTAATTTATTTTGTATATATTTTTATATTTTTCTATGAAGGTTAAAATGGTAATATATTAACACCCGTTAGTATGTTTAACGTTAAGTTAGTGACATGTGAGTTTTAGACATTTTGAAAAGTTGTGAGTTTAGGAGAAATGTTGAAAACTCATGGTGAGTTTTAGACAATTAGGGGTGTCAATTGGCCAGTTTTGGGTTGGATCCAATTTGATCGAAACCTTATCAAATCGGATTTGGACAATCAGTATAATTATTGGATTGGGCCAATCCAAAATAAATTGGTTCATATTCTTATTGGTCTGAATTTGACCTAAACCAAATTTCTAATAATCCGATCACGTGGTCAAACCCTTGTCCAATTTGATACCGATCAAAACTAAACTCGACATAAAATCACTTTTATGAAAATACTTTTACAAAAGCACTTTTATAAAAGTAATTTTATGAAAGTACATTTATGAAAGCACTTTACGAAATCACTTTCACAAAAGTGCTTTTATGAAAGCACTTTTACAAAAGTAGTTTTATAAAACCACTTTAATAAAAGAACCTTACAAAAGTACTTACACGAAAGCACTTTTACAAAAGAACTTTTACAAAAGTAATTTTATAAAAGAACTTTTATGGAGGTACTTTTACGAAATCACTTTTATGGAAGTACTTTTACAAAAGTATTTTTACGAAAGCACTTTTTTAAAAGCACTTTTATGAAAGAACTTTTACGAAAGTACTTTTATAAAATCACTTCTATGGAAGTACTTTTACGAAAGCAATTTTATGGAAGTACTTTTACAAAAGTGTTTTTTCAATACCAAAAGGGCATATTTTATAATTTTTAGATTTCTTCATTTTAATATATTTTGACATGTTCTATTTTTTTATATATAATTTTTGATATTTCAATTAGTTTGGATTAGATCCAATCCAGTCCATTTGCATTTTAATGGATTGGATTGGATTTGGTTTGTATTGGATTTGGACTGGATTGAGTCCAGTCCATTTGTAAGTGGACTCGCATTGGGATGGATCGAATTGAACCAAATCTAGTTCAATTGACACCTCTATAGACAATTTTCAAAATTTTTTTATTCATATAAATAAAATTTAGTTTATATGTTATCAAATCTTAATTCTAAAGTTGCAAGTACTTCTAATATTTGGACTTCTAAATTTAACATAAGTTATATTTGTGTTACCGGTCATTTTATTGATGAAAATTGGTTTTTAAATAAAAGAATTTTAAGTTTATTTGGCTTGAATGGCCACATACTGTCCCAACTATTGCTATAAGTATTTTAAATACTTTACATGCTTATGGAATTGATAATAAATTATTTTCTATTAGTTTTAATAATGCTAGTAATAATGATTCAACAACAAATATTTCAAAATCTCAATTAAAACCATGTTTAAATGGTAAGTTATTTCATATCAGATGTGCATGTCACATCTTAAATTTATATATACAAGATGCTTTAAATATTATTTCTACTCATATTTCTAAAATTAGAACTTGTGTTATATATATTAAAAGTTCTAGAGCAAGAAAATAAGAATTTAAATATTTATGTCAAAATTATGGTTTAAAATATAAACATTTTATATTAGATGTTAAACATAGAYGGAAWTCTACCTATGCTATGTTAGAAAGTTGTATTTCTCACAAACAAATTCTTAGTGATTTTTATAATGCGAAAATGCCTATTGATATTATACTTGAGGAAGACTGGGAAAAGACAATTTGAATAAGAGATTTTTTAAAACATTTTTATGATGCAACTAATGAATTATTGGGTATTTATTATCTAATTAGTTGTAATTTAGCTTATCAATTAATGACGATTAGTGATTGTTTTGCAAAATATAGAAAGAATCCACAATTTAAAAGTATTGTTGAAATAATGAAAAATAATTGTAAAAAATATTGGGAGAACATTTATTATCTTTATTGCTTAGCTATAATATTAGACCCTAGGATTAAGAAAGATGGTTTAGATGTTTTACTTGAAACATATTGTGAAAATATGAATATTGAAATTGGAAATAAAAAAGAAGGAATTAATAGTTTATTATTTGAAATCTATAGTTTATATGAATTTGAAGTAATAGGGAATAATAAAAATTCTACAACTTGTACAATTGCATAAATAAGAGGCAAAAATTCACTGCTTAACAACAAGTTTATTTATTGAACTTCATTTTTATTTACAAGCAAAATTTTCTACTTTAGGTGATTCTTCATTTACTTCGGAGGGAACAAATAATTTTAATATTTTAGACTGATGGAGTGAACATGCAAAAAGTTATCGAGTTCTTACCGCTGATGCGCATTTGCTTTAAAGATTGGCTAGATCCTAAAGATAGATTACAAGACAAAGGAGGGCATGACACTACACCCGATGTTTTACTTGAAGCAGATGATCAAAGTAAAAAACAATAGGAGAAAATAATGAAGTCAATATTTTTTGTATACTCAATAGTTGTATAGCATTTTTTCAAATTATTGTAAGTTTTGTTTTAATTTTATTTAATTTATTCGATATTTTTTATTTTTAATTTGTAAGTATATTGTATTTTTATATTTTATTAATTTATTCCATTTTCCAATTCTCATATTTCATTCAACCAACCATTGTATGCTTTGTATCATTTAAAATTAAATGAAATAAAATTCCTATTATTCTTCCAATTTGCTATTGATTTTGAGTCTTTGCCTCTTTGACTTCTTATTTAATTAAGTATTTTTTTTTCATTTCTTTGTTAGACTTATTATTTTTTCAAATAGTACCCAAAGGAAAGTTAAATATTTTGGTTTTACATAGCAAAG